TTCTAACCTAGTTATGAGCAAGCTTTTCGGGCTGCGAGTCGGGCAGCTGCACCCTTTGCCCCCTCCTTTGGCTCCGCTACTATTGAGATCACTATCAAAATATTTATCCAGAACTTTCTCTGTGTTGATTTATGTCTCAATAATTCTACTTGACTTAATAAAGAATGAAAAATGAACCATTTCCATATTTGTCCAATTTGTTAAGAAATAACAGACATAAACAGAGATAGTCTTGAATAAATCCAGACTTAAATATAGTTAGGTCATAAATCATAAAACAATGTTTGATAATAACTTATAAACACATCATAAGTCTGGTGGCTTTAAACAATTACTACCTCTCTTAGAATGAACATAGAATTTAAATTCTCATTGATGAAGACACAACTTTCTCTTACCAAATACAGTTTAAGTTTGAAGGGATCCAGTCTTTGGAATAGCCTACCTTCAAACATAGAATTTAAATTCTCACTGATGAATAGATACTCTTATTGACTTTAAAACCTAAAGAATAGAATCTCTACACTTCTCAGCGTGTTTCAAAATTACTTAGTTTTATGTATTTATTAGATTATAGAGGGATTCTCTTGTATAGTTTTCAGTCCTCTGATGAACAAAGACTCATTTTGGACAAGGTTAAAAAAAGAGGCAGTATACCTTTAAGAGTTACTGTGTTTTTCGTATTACAATTGACCTAAAATTCGTGACCTAAGCCTAGTGGCCTCATAGCCTAAATATCATAGTTTACCAGCAACTAAACGATTGTACTTGACTTATTAAAATCAGTAAGTTGTGAAATAAGGATGTCTCACGTAAAATTTATATTCTCTTCGCTTCCTTACTTTTATAATCTGTTTTTCTGACATCAAAACTTGAAACAGACATTGTAATCTAGTCTACTTAAAATTGATTACTACAAAGCAGTCTAAAAGTACATGATGGTTTACAATAGCGGCTCAAAAAAGGGGGGTGGGGTCCAAGAATACAATTTTTTGTGGAAATATTCCAAAGATGGAATAATATTAAAATAATATTCTATCAAATTGCATAAACAGCAGAATCAAGGCCTTAATTTCTTAAGTTTTTTCTATGGGCACCACCCATAGAATGGTTTCCAAGAATTTGGTAATGGCACCCACAAAACCCCAGTGGCCACTGGTGGTTTAAGATATTAGATATCAGGTTGATATCACAGTGTTTACTATTGATATTTATTTTTCTTCTCCAGTTTTGGATAATCAAGATGGGCAACACTATGAAGTGTTCAGTGAAAGAAATTATGACAGGACAGCAACATAAGCTTACTGTAATTCTATTTCTTTCAAGGGATCTGAAATGTAAATCTAAATAATTGGGCCTGTTTCACAAAATTTTAACTAAGATACAATCAAGATTTTAAGAAATAAAGTAATCTGATTGGTTGATAACTATGAATTATGAATCAATTTTAGTGATTGACCAATCAAATGACTGAAAGACTAAATTTTTGTGAATGCCCAGCATCAGTGACAACAGGGAAACTGGATTGAAAAATATGAAAATATCACACAAGATATCTCCAACAAGGTCTCAAAAAAGACAGAGAAGGCAGGAAAAAAGACTAAAGTTTTACCCTTGGGTAATATTAAATTGTCACCCTTTTTAACTCAGTTCATGGTCATTAACCTATATAAAGACAAATATGGGTAGGATTAAACTTTAAATAAAAAAAATAATCCATAAGCAATTCTGAATGCTCAATAAAAGTTGAATTCTCTAAGGACAAAATTTAAACATCAGATTTCACATTCCTTTCTTAATTCATTCAATTCTTATCTCCAAGCCTCTGGCAACGCTATTTTTGCTTGGACTCATACGAAAAAAATGGCATTAAATTCCGATCAGTCAGTATGAGTGCAAAATAATAAATTTCTACTTTAACTCTCATTCTATCTCATCATAAATTTATTGATTTATTTTGAGAATAATCTGAGAAAACTTGGTCAATAATAGACAGGATTACATGGTGGTATCCTTGTAAAATATAGTCACAGGAAGACATTTATCAAGAGGTTTGACTACAGACCAACTTTTATATAGGATCTTTGTTATTTGACCAAGTACCAGCTGGTAGACAGGATCCTTGTTATTTGATCAAGCTCCAGCTAGTAGACAGGATCATTGTTAGTTGACCAAGAACCAGCCGGTAGACAGGATCCTTGTTAGTTGACCAAGTACCAGCTGGTAGACAGGATCCTTGTTAGTTGACCAAGAACCAGCTGGTAGACAGGGTCATTGTTAGTTGACCAAGAACCATGGTAGAAAGGATCCTTGTTAGTTGACGAAGAACCAGCTGATAGACAAGATCATTGTTAGTTGACCAGGTACCAGCTGGTAGACAGGATCATTGTTAGTTGACCAGGTACCAGCTGGTAGACAGGATCCTTATTAGTTGACCAAGCTCCAGCTGGTAGAAAGGATCCTTGTTAGTTGACCAAGAATCAGCTGGTAGACAAGATCATTGTTATTTGACCAAGAACCAGCTGGTAGACAGGATCATTGTTAGTTGACTAAGAATTGGCTGGTAGACAGGATCCTTGTAAGTTTACCAAGAACCAGCTGATAGAAAGGATCCTTGTTAGTTGACCAAGAACCAGTTGGTAGACAGGAACCTTGTTAGTTGACCAAGTACCAGCTGGTAGACAGGAACCTTGCTAGTTGACCAAGAACCAGCTGATAGACAGGAACCTTGTTAGTTGACCAAGAACCAGCTGATAGACAGGAACCTTGTTAGTTGACCAAGAACCAGCTGGTAGACAGGAACCTTGTTAGTTGACCAAGAACCAGCTGATAGACAGGATCATTGTTAGTTGACTAAGAACCAGCTAGTAGACAGGATCCTTGTTAGTTGACCAAGAACCAGCTGATAGACAAGATCCTTGATAGTTGTCCAAGAACTAGCTGGTAGACAGGAACCTTGTTAGTTGACCAAGCTCCAGCCGGTAGACAGGATCCTTATAAGTTGACCAAGAACTAGCTGGTAGACAGGATCATTGTTAGTTGACCAAGAACCAGTTGGTAGACAGGATCATTGTTAGTTGACCAAGAACAAGCTGGTAGACAAGATCATTGTTAGTTGACTAAGAACCAGCTAGTAGACAGGATCATTGTTAAGTGACCAAGAACCAGCTGGTAGACAGGATCATTGTTAGTTGACCAAGAACCAGCTGGTAGACAGGATCATTGTTAGTTGACCAAGAACAAGCTGGTAGACAGGATCATTGTTAGTTGACTAAGAACCAGCTGGTAGACAGGATCATTGTTAGCTGACCAAGAACCAGCTGGTAGACAGGATCATTGTTAGTTGACCAAGAACCAGCTGGTAGACAGGATCCTTTAATTTGTCCTTGTATTAATAATTGCCAAGAGGTTTGACCAAGGTTTAATTATTAATCTAGTAAAATACGGTCTCAGGAAAGAAGACCAACTTTTGGACAGGTTCCTATACTCCATGTTATTATCTCATGTTATTATACCCTTATAATCATTGCCAAGAGGTTTGACATAAAACTATTTAATTCTTAGTTATCCTTTTAATAACAGATTTGATCGAAAACAAACTGGTAGACAGGATTCTTGGAACTTCAGTTGTTATCCTTGTAATCATTGAGGTTTCACCAAGACAGATCCTTTATACCTCAGTTGTTATCCTTATAAACTAGGATTCAGTTGTAAAATGTTAAGGAAAATGTGAGTAAACTTGGTCAATAATAGAAAGAAATAAAAAATGTTATCCATGATGACACTGTTGTCAAGAATTTAACCAAGAACAATTCTGCAGACAGTATGCTTGGAACACAGTTATAACACTTTTCTGAACTTCAGGTCTGTCTCATCTCTCACTGACATTCGACTTTGATTTTAGTTAATGGTTAGGATTTATCTATTATTATTATTATTCTGTTAAGAAAAACCAAATCACTTCTTGACCTACTAGCACTTATTTTATAATTTTCTTCTGTTTTGTTTGACTTTCAAGTACTGTAAGTAAGTGCATAAAAGTCTGTGACTTAGAAAAAAAAACCTCAAAAGATGAAAAAAATCCTGAATGAAATCCCCCATGATATTTATCTCTAATCATTGATCTCATCAGAAGATAGTAAACCATACAAGTTGAGATTTCATATCAATAAGTTTTGTCAAGAGATTTTCAATTTCTCATCAGATTCTAAAACTTGACACGCAACTTAAAAGTTTGGTTGTTTAATCTCGTTTAGCATCGGAAAAAAGTGAGAAATAAAACTCCATTCTTGATCGAGTGGAAAAAGAAGCCTTGTAATAATCTAGTTATATTCTCAAACAACACTAAAATCTGGAGTAAAAATTCTACATTAAGTAGAAATGGCGTAAGGGTAAATATGATTACAGGCTGACGATCAGATTTTAAGTGCAGCAGATTTAGAAAAACTGTGAGCTCATTGAAATAAAAATGATGATAGTATTGCTGATGATTGATGTTATTGATGGTGATGATGATTATGTTAGTGATGATCTATGCTGATGTTGATTGATAATGATGATTATGTTAGTGATGATTATGTTAGTGATGATCTATGCTGATGTTGATTGATAATGATAATGATGATTATGTTAGTGATGATTATGTTAATGATGATCTATGCTGATGTTGATCGATGATGATGTTATTGAAGATCATTGATATTGATGATGATGATGATGATGGTTTCTTGATGATGATTATTGATTAATGATTATAATGATGTTGATAATGCTGTTGATGATGATGGATTATGATTATGATGCTAATTGATACTGACGATGATAATTTTGATGAATGATAACATTGATGATGTTAATGATTTAATGATGAATATGAAAGTAATGATGATTGATGATGATGATGACTCATTAAGAAAGCTTATTTGGGACAAAAGTTTTATTTCAATAAGTACCAGTAAACTTAACATAATATAGAAACAGAACACTACAAAGTTACGAAAATGGCCTGTGTGTTATTCCAGAAAAAGAAGGAACAGCCATCTTTAAAAACCTATCAGAAGGTCTGTTTGAAACCTTCCTTAATGACCCACTAAAAATATAACCTGGTTTTTCTACATCAATTTGACAGTTTTTATGGGTAAAATATCTTGAATGGAAGGAAAGACTTGGTTTTTTATGAATAGAGATTGTAGTAAAAGGTGTCTGACTGGGGAGTAATGGAGATAGACCAGTTACCCAGTAACAACTATCAAGATGACAACAGAAAATAATATCCACAAAGTAAAAATGACCGCACCTTAAGAAATGGAAGCCATTTTCCCAATCTTATTTTTAGTTTTTAGATATTGTTCAGATAAAAAAGAAAAGAACAAATATGAATAATCACTTTATAATTATCAGGGGTATGAGAGTAAAAAAAATACTGCTTCTTAGTTGAATTTCAAATATAAACTGATTTGTTTAGGTTCTAATGAGAGGGTTAAGAATACTTTACTCACTATCGCAAAAGAACTCAGTATTGAAAAAATAACTCACTACAGGTCAGGGTTAATCAACAAGATTATAACTTAAAGCTATCATGCACTATATAGAACTCAAACCAAATATTTACTCTTGTCCTGATAAATAGTCATTTTATAAATAAAATTTAAATATTTGAGCTCTACAATGATAATAACACCTGTAAGTGTTGCTAATGAGCAATGTTATTTCTGCCTTTGGTTCTCAGACAAAATGGACTATGGTCCAACAAATCCATACTTTTAGGTCCCCTTTTTTATTTTTCATATAGTTCCAGTGGGTAAAAGAACATTTAAACAAAACAGCTTTTTTTTTTTTTTTGCACAGGACAAGTAAAAACATTTGTGGTCTCCCTTTCCTCACCCAGAGTGTGATAATGCCATTTATTTAAAATGACGAAGGAATGAAAAAATAGCATAATAAACAAACAACAATTAAATAAACAATAAATCATAATGATTTATAAACAATATCATAAACTAGTTGGGCTTAATAAACCTACTATGCGCCATAAAATAATTAAAAAACAATGAAAATACAAAATCATAACAGTTAAAAAACGGTGGAAGAGGGGGAGGAGGAGGGTTGTCAACCGCAACTTCAACCGAGTTTGCAATGGCGGGTCGAAGTTAAACGATGATACAACGTACCAAATGAATTACACATAAACGATTGGTCAACACAAAACATATTATCTTTCAATAATATTTATTTTTGATCATTGTTGAAACTAGCAAAACAAGCAAATTACTAAGCTAACCAGCACTAGTAAATGAATAAGCTTCGGACCTAGGCCTGTGCTTTCTATGAGTTAAATTCTCATTTCACCTTAACACTATTATTGTAATAAGATTTAAAGGGATTAACAAACAATGGTTTTGATAATAATGGGGTATTTAAAAAATCAAATTAATTCAGCTTCTTCAAAAAAAAGAAAAATGTGCTTCTGAAAACAAATCTAATAAGTTTGGTGTTCACCTATGTATGATTCACCAGCACCAAGTATTAAGATATGATATACAGACAAGTAAAAGTATTACCACTTACAGTGAGACAGTATTATATTGATATTGTATTAAGTGAATAGACCAGTTTATCATTGGTTAGAATAACCTGTAACTTGTAGTTATATCCCTTGGCTTTTATCAACCATCTCATCTGATAACCTCTGTTCCAATCTACTATATATATATATACCCCATTGTGTTATACCTGCTCATTTCACCTGATGATAACAATGTAAATTGTTGAAACATTGTGTACAATAAAACTCAGTGGTAGTATATCATATAAACTAATGATGACAATGTAAATTGTTGAAACATTGTGTACAATAAAACTCAGTGGTAGTATATCATATAAACTAATGATTACAATGTAAATTGTTGAAACGTTGTGTACAATAAAACTCAGGAGTAGTATACCATATAAACTGATGATGACAATGTAAATTGTTGAAACATTGTGTACAATAAAACTCAGGAGTAGTATTCCATAATATTGTGATCTGTTATTTTATTTTCAACAGTTCACAAAAAAGTAATGTTGAATATAACAGGTAAAAACAAGACAACTGTAAACTAAAATTTCTGTTAAACATCATGTAAAAAAATTAACAAGAAATGTTTTAGAGAAGAATTAGTTATTTATCAAAAGAACAATATGTATAATCAGCCTGAGCTTTTTGAATTATGAAACAAAACATCTTAGAAACATTCTAGAAACATTCCTGAAGGTTGAAAGCTCGTTTTCCTTATAAACTGCACAAATACACTTTCTAGTATTGAAAAGATCTGAGAAATAGCAATATATTGTGCCTTAGGAATAACAGCATGATTTAAATAACATGAAGGATGCCACTGGCAAATAAAGACAGAAAACATGCAGTATTATGCAGGTATTATCTTGACCTATGCCAGAATCAAACCCAAGGACTTCAAGTTAGCCAGAAAGCATCCAACTTACTAAGAGATCCAGCTATGTCATAAGATATAGAGTTATGTATTTATTCTTCTCCTCCAGTTTGGAATAAACTTACCACCCCATACAGTGTGCAATGAAGGAAATTTTGCCAGGGCAAAAAAATATTTCTACATTATAGTCAATATCTATACACACACAGTTCTGTCCAACTATCACAATATTAATAGAATTAATGATTTCTTACCTGATAGAAAATGGACAGGTATATTTTGAAGATGTAGAGTCACGGTCTATAGCTTGTATAGTTAGTAACTGGGTCAACGTCGACACAATTCCATACAGATTCCTGGAATAAATGGTGGAATAAATGGTGGAATTAATGGTGGAATAAATGATACAATAAATGATAGAATAAATGGCGAAATAAATGATGGAATAAATGGTGAAATAAATGATATAATAAATGGTAGAATAAATGATAGAATAAATGGTGGAATAAATGATAGAATAAATGGTAGAATAAATGGTAGAATAAATGATAGAATAAATGATAGAATAAATGGTAGAATAAATGATAGAATAAATGATAGAATAAATGGTAGAATAAATGATGGAATAAATGATAGAATAAATGATGGAATAAATGATAGAATAAATGACAGAATAAATGACCAAATAAATGATATAATAAATGGTAGAATAAATGATAGAATAAATGATAGAATAAATGGTGGAATAAATGATGGAATAAATGATAGAATAAATGATACAATAAATGATACAATAAATGATGGAATAAATGATAGAATAAATGACAGAATAAATGATAGAATAACTGATGGAATAAATGATAGAATAAATGACAGAATAAATGGTAGAATAAATGATGGAATAAATGGTAGAATAAATTGTGGAATAAATGGTGGGATAAATGGTAGAATAAATTATAGAATAAATGAAAGAATAAACGGTAGAATAAATGGTGGAATAAATGGTAGAATAAATGATAGAATAAATGGTAGAATAAAAGGTAGAAAAAAAGGCAGAATAAATTGTGGAATAAATGAATGAATAAATTGTGGAATAAATGATATAATAAATGGTAGAATAAATTGTGGAATAAATGGTGGGATAAATGGTAGAATAAATTATAGAATAAATGATAGAATAAACGGTAGAATAAACGGTGGAATAAATGGTAGAATAAACGGTAGAATAAATGGTGGAATAAATGGTAGAATAAATTATAGAAGAAATGGTAGAATAAATGGTGGGATAAATGGTAGAATAAATTATAGAATAAATGAAAGAATAAACGGTAGAATAAATGGTGGAATAAATGGTAGAATAAATGATAGAATAAATGGTAGAATAAACGGTAGAAAAAAAGGCAGAATAAATTGTGGAATAAATGAATGAATAAATTGTGGAATAAATGATATAATAAATGGTGGGATAAATTGTGGAATAAATAGTGGGATAAATGGTAGAATAAATTATAGAATAAATGATAGAATAAACGGTAGAATAAATGGTGGAATAAATGATGGAATAAATGGTAGAATAAATGGTAGAATAAATGGTAGAATAAACGGTAGAATAAATGGTGGAATAAATGGTAGAATAAATTATAGAAGAAATGGTAGAATAAATTGTAGAATAAATGATTGAATAAATGATAGAATAAATGGCAGAATAAATGATTGAATAAATGATAGAATAAATGGCAGAATAAATGATAGAATAAATGGCAGAGTAAATCTCTTGATCATTATCAAAACATGAAAATTCTTGGCATATTTTAATGTTGTTGAGTTGGATGAGGGGGGTTTTGGTCAAGTATCACACAAAGGGTTCAAATAATAGGTTTAAACAATACTGATGTTACAAATGGATATTTAAATCTATAATGAAAGTTATTGTTAATTCTCATATATATACAAAACTTTACGGACAAATGTGTTTGGTTTAAACCTGTTGTTTCATTTGAAAATCTTCAATAGGGACTTCACGATGAGCTAATGAAATAGACAATGCCATGCAATGTGAAATGAGGGAAATTTTGCCAGGACAGCGACATTCGCCAATTTTTTTTTTACGATTTTGAGTTGTCAAGCAGTCTTTATCTATAAAAGATACAGCAGTTGGATATTGAAATAGTGAAATTCAATCTGTAGTCTACATATAATTTATTTCTATTTTATTATTCATTCATTATATTGTCCTCATGGACTGAATGTTAGACAGGATCACGTCCTTGTGTATTGAGCCTAATCTGACCCATGTAAAATAAAGAGTCTATGTTTGTCTCAATGGGTTGAATATTAGACAAGATCATGTCCTTGTGTATTGGTTCTGATTCTGACCCATGTAAAATAAAGAGTCTATGTTTGTCTCCAAGGACTGAATGTTAGACAGGACCATGTCACTTTGGTGTATTGGTTCTAAATCTGACCCATGTAAAATAAAGAGTCTATGTTTGCCTCTAAGGGCTGAATGTTAGACACGATCATGTCCTTGTGTATTGGACCTAATTCTGACTCATGTAAAATAAAGAGTCTATGTTTGTCTCCATGGACTGAATGTAAGACAGGACCATGTCACCTTGGTGTATTGGTTCTAAATCTGACCCATGTAAAATAAAGAGTCTATGTTTGTCTCCATGGGTTGAATATTAGATCATGTCCTTGTGTATTGGACCTAATTCTGACCCATGTAAAATAAAGAGTCTATGTTTGTCCCCATGGGTTGAATATTAGATCATGTCCTTTTGTATTGGGCCTAATTCTGACCCATGTAAAATAAAGAGTCTATGTTTGTCCCCATGGGTTGAATATTAGACAAGATCATGTCCTTGTGTATTGGTTCTGATTCTGACCGACTTAAATAAAGATTTCATTATTATTATTACATATAATTCAGAAATATATTTAGAAAGAATAGATTTGTTGATTTCAATTATGAAAATAATTATCGAACTCTGCCATTAGTTTTCTATTTAAGAAAAAACTCGTTAAAAAACATGTAGAATCAACCAGCTAATGTATTTTCTAATGTAATAGGTTTTCAGAAATAAAATAGAAATATAACTAATGATGCTATTTTTCTGAGTTAAATCACACTTTTTTCAATTTTTATAAAACGCATTTCACATGTAAAAACATGTGATCATCTTGTGAATTAAAAATACAGGATAATATGACAATAAATTACAGATCTTTACGATTTGATTTCGCAAATATTTAATTTGCAGTAAATGTTCCCCCAATAACTGACTAAGGCAGAGATGTTGATTATAAGAAGATTGTATTTCCACAAAACGTTTCGGGTAACAGGTAAACAAGCACCCTTCCTCAGTTGTGTAATAGAGTGTATAAAAAATTCTTTTATATTAAGAAATGGAATTATTAAACGCATGCGTAAAACGTTGGAGACAGGAATAATTTGCCTGGTAGCGGCCTAAGTATTCCAAATATTTAATTTCATATACTGATATTTGTTTCAAATGAAAATTGCCTTTTTATTTGAATGTTTAAGTGAGTCCGCGTGTCTATTTGAGAGTCCTCCTCACTAAAAATGTATATTTGGTATTTAGATTAGTCAACTTGGCAAACTTTTAGGGAGTCCACAAAGCTAATAATGTTTACTGGGTATTTTAGTTGTCAATTTGGCAAACTTTTAGACTCCATTTTTCTTGTATCACAAATGCTGCGGTTTGATTGGATTGTTCACCAGAGAATACAGCCTATTAGAGTCCTTGACAGAAAAACTGTAAACATTATGGCTTATTGTTTAAAGACTTTCTGTCAAGTACTCTGATTGGCCGTATTCGCTAGCCTACAATCTAACAATATTGCTACATTTACAAACTTCTTTGAAACTAGAAAGGTGGCTATTGCAGTCAAGATATAAGTACGAGGTTTGAAATAGTTTTGAAGATGAGTAGGTTTAAGGTATAAGTACGAGGTTTGAAATAGTTTTGAAGATGAGTAGGTTTAAGGTATAAGTACGAGGTTTGAAATAGTTTTGAAGATGAGTAGGTTTAAGGTATAAGTACGAGGTTTGAAATAGTTTTGAAGATGAGTAGGTTTAAGGTATAAGTACGAGGTTTGAAATAGTTTTGAAGATGAGTAGGTTTAAGATATAAGTACGAGGTTTGAAATAGTTTTGAAGATGAGTAGGTTTAAGGTATAAGTACGAGGTTTGAAATAGTTTTGAAGATGAGTAGGTTTAAGGTATAAGTACGAGGTTTGAAATAGTTTTGAAGATGAGTAGGTTTAAGGTATAAGTACGAGGTTTGAAATAGTTTTGAAGATGAGTAGGTTTAAGGTATAAGTGCAAAGTTTGTAAAAGCTTGATATTTTGAAGATGGTCTTTCAGACAGTTCACAATGTCGATATTTTCCACTTAGGGAGTCCACATAGTTAATAATGTCCAGTTGGTAAAACTTAACCTACCTAGCTGAAGGAACTATATTTATTAAACTCTGATATACATAACCATACTCTAGTGATTTATTGAGGACTAGTTCTAAAATAACTTGACTTGTAGTACCACTGATAACTGTTTTCTCCACACTACATTTCTGCCATAGTAACTTCAGTTCTGGACTCTGAAATATAAAACAGTTGAGATCAAGAGTTAAGAGCTTGGCCAGTCCTTGTAGTTGCCCAAACTTAAACAAGAAAAGCACCTTGTTGCAATGGGACAATAAACCCAATAAACTCACAGCCAGGCCTGAAGCCAGTCTTGATTGTTCAGAGGGGCAAGTAATATACCACAGGGTAATGGTGTATGGTGTTAAGTTGCAGTAATGGAATGCTCATAGGTTGAACTGGAAGAGAATAAGATAATATAAAACTCAGAAGTGAACAGAATGTCGAGTTAGTTAGCAATATCAGCATCTGCTGGAAGCGAATGTTAACTTGTCAACTTCATAGATACCCAATAATGTTCATTTGGTATTTAAGTTTATCAACTCGACATCCTTTTTGGAGAGTCCACATAGTTAATAATTTTTAGTTGATAGTGAGGTTTATTAACTCAGAATCTCTATAGAGAGTCTATCTAGATAAGTGTACATATTTCATAAACATTAACACTATTTTAACAGAAGAATGAAGATGATTTATTCGGTAACTAATTTACGAGAACCTTTGACAATATCTTCAAAGAGAAAGTTGCGTGAACAATTTGAAATTGCATTATAGTTGTTTTTTCTTGTCAAATTTGTTGGTTTTATTGTTGATTGAGCTTTTCAATTAAAATGAAGTTTTATAAACCTCAGTTCTGTATCTTATTGGGCTAAAGAATATATAAACCAAGTACTAACACTATGAACTGTAAAACGAAACCCGAAATCCGTAACAACACATAACATGGAGTTTTGTATCCTACAGTTCTGTATCTTATTGAACTATTAAAATGAAATGTAGTTTTATATCCTACTGTTCTGTATCTTATTGGACTAATGAAATGAAATGGTGTTTTATATCCTACTGTTCTGTATCTTATTAAACTAATGAAATGAAATGGAGTTTTATATCCTACTGTCCTATATCTTATTAAACTAATGAAATGAAATGTAGTTTTGTATCCTACTGTTCTGTACCTTATTGGACTAATGAAATGAAATGGAGTTTTATATCCTACTGTTCTGTACCTTTTTGGACTAATGAAATGAAATGGAGTTTTATATCCTACTGTTCTGTATCTTATTGAACTAATGAAATGAAATAGAGTTTTATATCCTACTGTTCTGTATCTTATTGGACTAATGAAATGAAATGGAGTTGTATATCCTACTGTTCTGTATCTTGTTGAACTAATGAAATGAAATGGAGTTGTATATCCTACTGTTCTGTATCTTGTTGAACTAATGAAATGAAATGGAGTTTTATATCCTACTGTACCTTATTGGACTAATGAAATGAAATGGAGTTTTATATCCTACTGTTCTGTATCTTATTGAAATAATGAAATGAAATGAGTTTTATATTCTACTGTTCTGTATCTTATTGAAATAATGAAATGAAATAGAGTTTTATATCCTACTGTTCTGTATCTTATTG